GAACAATATCCTCAAGTTTCATCAAGAGTTAATAGGACAAGTCTTAGCCATCTCCTCAGATCTCTTCTTCTAAGGGAAGGTTGATTCAATCTATGCTCGATAGTCTAGCTTCACTTTGCCGACAGTGGTTCCTCGACGTGGAACAAGGGTCGGCAGCTTGATTAGGTCAACTGATCTGCAAGACTTACATGATCAGATCAATCATATCAGCCCCCAATAAGTAGAAGGTTAGTCGGTCTGCAACTTCCATAGCTTAGCCGGCTAACGCTCTTACTAGGCTTGGCTGACCGAAGGGCCTCTCTAGCTCAGCCAGTGTTGGCCTGTCCAAGTGCTCGACAATCTAGTCAGCAAAGCTTTAAAGTCATCTGGCTTCGGACCTACATATGTAAAGTACCTCTAATAACCTGTACATCCCTCATTAAAGTAGGGGCACAATTGTAATTTAACATGCAAATGTCCCTTCCTCTATAAATAGAGGATCACTCTAGGAATGAGGGGTTTCACAACATTAGCCAAAAAGGTTGAAAAAGATCAATGCATTTGCTCAAAGTTATTATTCAGTACTGCTCATCTCTCTCTCTCTCTCTTTCTTTCTCTTGTGTTACATTTTTTTTATTATGTGTGATTCATAAACAAATCAAAATTTAACAAGACATAATAATTTCTCTGGAATAATAAGAGTATACAACATATTATAAATTTGTCTCCTTGACCTTCTATTTAAATGCAATTTGAAATTACTTTACATAAAATTGTGTGTGCTAGCTAGGTAGATTATGTGTTATTAGTCTTCAAAGATATGAACTTACTAGCAAGTACGGGGATGGCAATCTAACTAATCATGGGATTGGCAGGGCCTTAGCTCCAAAATTTAGCCTAATGGATTCATTATGTTGACTCCTAACCCGTAAGATTGAGTTGAACTCGACTTGAGCAATTTTGAATGTACAATTTACAATCACCTTAGTTTATGCAATCAAAAATCAAATCAATCAAGTGAAGCATGGGGTCCATATTTTTTGTGTGAAGATTTCTGAAGGAAAATCATGGGCATAATTTAATTAAATAGTTTTTTTATTATAATTTTGAATAAATGTTATGGACATCCAATTACTTGTAAGGACTTCAATACAAGATACCTTTTGGATAGTAAGAAGATGCATTGCTGTGGGAACCATGATTGGCCCTAAATCACAATGGTTGCAAAGTATAGTAGAAGATATGACCAAGAACATCCAACATGAATATGACCTAAAAAGATCGAGTCATTTGTTGAGGTCTTAAATGTCGTTAGATCTGGATATAGTAGTGATGCCACTGATGTTGTTAGATGAAATGCTTCAACCTCATTATGTGATGATAGATAGTTTGAATAGAGACATTCATTATTTGATCTTTAGATGAATGTGACTGATGTGATCAATGTCATATGGTTTAGGATGATAATAAATTAAAGTATGAAGTTAATTGATCTTCAAATATAAATGGAGGGCTAAATGATCTTCAAATTTAACAAGCTTATAATTAATTGGAGTGCCTCCACAAGATGAATCCAATGGATTTTGAGAGCACATAAATTTGACAGTATTAAGGCACTTAAATACTCAAAGAAATATCATACAATCAAGAAGATCACTTTAGGTCATTTGATGGAATGATATGAATTTAGGTAGTATTTACAAAGAAAGTTATTTCTAAAATCCATAAATCATGTCATAATATCTTCATAAGGGCAAGCAAAGCTTGAACTTAGACCTCAGGGGGATCTGAGATTTAGAGGATTTCTAAACTCATTAACAATCATTAAACAAGCCCCACCCATCTACTGTCGTCTTTTCCTGTCATTGCTATCAGATCACTGCCATCATCAAACCGCCACCATCACTGGGCCACTACTATTGTCGAATGGTCATCGCCATTATCATTGTGAAACCACCAACATCAGTAGACCGTTGTCATCCACCATCATCATTAAACTATCATCCCCACCATTGCCATCAAGCAAAAGAAAAAAAAAAAAAAGTTTATAGATAAAACTATCTTTTTCCACGACCTTCAAATAATTTTAAAGCAAATCTTGTTCTCTTACACCTGACCTTTAAATCATTTCAAAGTTACAAAAAAGAGCATCAATTTGCTAAATATTTTCAAAATTTCTGAAGTTAAATTGAAAAATTCTCAATTTAACACATCAAATTGGCATCATACAAATTCAACATAAGAACTCATGATACAACATATTGCCTATAAATACAGCATAAAAATCATTTGCGTCCCATGTGGATACAACACAAATTTAATTATTACAAAACATTATTTTTTATAAATATAATATGAATCATTTATTTTTTCATGCAGTCCAACCACTATCAAGAATGCAGTTAATGATAAGTATGAATGAGACTCCTTACTACATTTAAATTGTTAAAGTAGAATATATATATATATATATATATATATCTTTTATTATTATTATTATTATATATATATATATATATAAAAGTGAATAAAAAAGTTAGAATACCAAATATATTAATGGAAGCAACATAACTAAAGTGATTAACACGATTTTAGAGCTCCTAGAAGATATTGGGAAGCGGGTTTGACGAGGAGGAGCTAAAGGAATAGTAGGGGAAGAAAATTACGGACGATTGGTTTGGAAACAGTAAGGAAAACCACGAAACAGTATGGCGTGGATATTGAGGAGGGGTGTTGGCTGAAATTGTAGTGTGGATAACTGAGGGACAACTAGGGTTGTCAAAAAAGCTCGTTGTTCGCGAACAGCTCGTGTTCAGCTCGTTAAGTAGCTCGTGTTCGGCTTGTTCGTTAAGTAAACGAGTCAAACACGAACAAGTTTTTAAAGCTCTAATTATAAATGAGCCGAACACGTACAACTCTTTGTTCGCTCGTGTTTTCTTTTGTATACATGTGGTTCAGGTTTCAATCCCATACTTTACATCTATTTTTTTTAATTTTTAATTTTTCTGAGCCAATTTCGAGCCGAACACGAGCCAAACACGAACACAAATATTTCAATCGAGCAAAACACGAACACATTGTTCACGAGCCAATTTCGAACACGAGCTATTTCGAATGAGCCAAACATGAGCCAAGCCTAAACTCGCTCAAGCTCGGCTCATTTACAACCCTAGGGATAGCAAACCAGAACTGATAAAAGTAGTTTTCCTGCTGCGAACTACTAGTTGGACGATGAAGGAGCTCTCCAAGCGTCCGAGAGAAATCACCGCTTCAATCAAATTAGGTTACAGACACACGACATGAAAGGAATCTATGGATGCTTGGATCTTGCAGTGGTTCTCTCGCAACCTTCGCAGCTCCTCCATGCTATTTTGTGATCGGAAATGATACTGAATTAGATACTTAGAGCATGCATTGGTGATGGTATTCATGATTGGGAGGAGAGGGGAAAGGAAAGTGGTGGTAACGGATCGGATGTCGGAGGGAAAGACCTTATACATCTAACGTCCAGAGCTCCAACTAGATCGTAAGCAGGGATACTGCAAGATATTTAGAGAGGTGAAGGTTCCTTTTAGACACCATCCACTGTTTCGACGGCCTCACCTCTGCAATTTAGGCGGAGGAGGGCAAATAGAGGCCGATGAATGTAAGGCATTTTGGACATTTTCACTACCAAACGCGGAAAATAAGTTGCAAAGCTCACATAAGTTCACCTTCCGAAATATGACATAATGGTAGCTGCTTTCCGAAGATACTCATCCAAACAGTTCTTCTACATTTCTTCCAACAAGATGTGTCAACCTAAGCTTGATTAAATAATCAATTTTGTGCTTAAGCTCAAGGTTAACTCTAGGAGAGCTAGTGAATAAACAATTTATGAAATAAAAAAATTACCTTCTTGTTTAGGGTCTGTTTGGGGTAGCTTATTTGGTACGGTGACGTTTTGAAAAAGCACCTGGCATTTTTGAGCTTATTTGGTGCGGTGGCGTTTTGAAAAAGCACCTAGCGTTTTTGGGTAAACTGCGTTTTGGCAACTTATGTGTTTTCAAAACACAGAAAACAGTGTTTTCACACCGCACATATCTAGGTGCGGTGGGAGCTTATTGACAACGGTCTAACTTTTCCAAAAAAAATAAAAAATTGTAATAACTATCGCACCTAACTTATCAGTAGATTATTTTTAATCAGCTTATCCGCATCTTATTCAATAAACTACAGCTGCCCCAAACAGACCTTTAACCTTAGTATGAACGAGAGAAGAAACATTAATTTAAACTAATGTTATAATGAAATGATAAATAGAATTAACATTCATGACAATACTAGTACTTTATTTGAATATTTTAGATGTGATATGAAATATTTGAACGTTATAAATATACAAAATATAAAGTTTTGGTACTGGACATGTAAATACATAGGAATTGGGTTGTATGTATGTAAATGCTCGCCTAAAGTTTGAGCAATCTAAGTTTAAACATGAATTTTATTTATGACTAACATTGTTTAATTTGTCCTAATCCCTAAACTTGTGTAAACATAGATCCATATACTGACAACCAAACATAAAAATTTAATTACCACTTTTTAATTAACAGCCAACCAATCAACCTGAAAAGAAAAATTGCACCATATATAATGAACACAATCAACTCAAAATACATCCTTCTCAAGGGAAATTTACATTCATACCACACAATGCTTATATAATTACAGATTTAACACAAGAAATTTCATTTTTTACATTTATAACACTCATGAGATAAAAACCTATGCATGAAAGGTTTATTGAACTCTTCAAATGTGGATGATAGTGATATTTTTTTTATGTGAAATGAAAGATTTGAATGCTATGCATGTAAATATTAAATTTTGGGAGTTAGATATGAAAATATATGAAAATTGTGAGGTAAGTATGTAAATGCCCCTTGCCTCAATCAAATAACACCACAAAAGTCAGAAAAAAAACAATGGCAACCACATTTATTTCAAGTGAAACTATGAGAGGATATATAATATATAAAATCAAAGTTCATAAAGAGTTTAAAACTCCATCAAACAAACATACCTCATCAGTTCCAAGTTAAACTTTCCAGTCCAACATAAACCTAAAATTGCAGAAACAACCTTATATTCTCAAAGATTCAGTAGAGATTAGATCTAATCAACGCTACACATCCGCATTGTGCCAACCTTTTGTGCAAGGTGGAATGTTCATAAACTCATCAAACTCCTTCACATGGATGTCACAGCATTTCCACTGGAAATAAGAGCACATTAAAAAAAGATGAGAAATTTACGCTGCTACCACAAAATACTTGTGTATTTACATATCTTTCAGTCAAAGTTTGATATTTATAGTTATACCAACGTGGTGTCATAAACTTGTGCCTGAAAAAACATATTTGATAGTAATATTTTGAAATGATGTTAAATATTTGAGTGGTGTCCATGTAAAATATGAATGTTTAAGTGTTAGATACATAAATATATAAGAACTGTGTGAAAAGTATGTAAGATTTGAGTGAAAGACTGTTTAAGGAAAATAGAAGAAGGTTTACCCCTCTCATCCGGTCATGGAAGACCGGCGGACCGGGATGATACTCGCATGCGGTCTCATGATTGTCCTTCTCCTTGAATGTCTTACCACATCCTTTGTGTCTGCAAGTTTGCGGCTCATTTATATCAATGATTTTCTTGACCAGGAATGCTGGCCAAGGGTTCATCCTTCGATTGGGTTGGTATGGCCGGCTTCGATATCCCTGATTTTGAGCCTGAAATGCCACCAGTCATTGTCAATAGAATGAGTGGGAGGGCTCAGGGTGTGTACAGAGCAGCTTTTTTGCATATTTGTATTATTGCAAATTTGCAATCTTTTATAAATTCTTAGGCATTTACATACATACAGCCCAATTTATATGTATTTACATATCTAACACCTAAACTTTGTTTTTTATATTTATACCACCCAAATCTTTCATATCAAATAAAAATATCATTATTTTAACTTTTAAATTGCCACAACCAGACCCTTATTAGAATGTTGTAAGAGCTGGTGTCCAAACTTTTCATAAGAAAAAAGAATTGATAATGCCCGCAATAAGTTTCAAAAAAAATATTTTTCCGAGATAATTATATAATTTTTTTGAGAAATAATTGAAACGACTCAGAATAGTACATTAAATCAAAAGATCTGAACTGCTTTGGCATTAATTAATTGCGGAAAGAAGCATATTTACCATGATCTGAGCAGAAGAAACCTTGGCGGCATCTTGAACAGCCAGCAGCATCCTCTGTACTTTTGCTTTGAATAGGTGTAGGGGTTGGTTTCCGAGTATTTGTAGAGACAGCCTTGGTGACTGGTTTCTCTGTAGTATGTTTGCCTGACTTACATCTTTACAGAAAAAAAAAAGGGAGAAAGATTTACATATATTATACTCAATTATTGTGTACTTGCATGTCTAACACCTAAACATTACTTTTTATATTTATACCACCAAATCTTTTATATCACATAAAAAATATCATTAGTTTAACTTCTAAAAGGTGAAATACACATTTTTCAATGCATAGTTAAGGTAGCAAATATGCAACAATTGAAGTTTGGGTGTTAGATATATAAATACATAAGAATTGACTAGTATGTGCGTAAGGCTTCATTTGGGGTAACTTATCCGCTGCAGGGATGTTTTGAAAACGCCGTCTCACCATTTGAAAATTGTGTTTGAGCAGCTTATCCAAAAACGCAGTTCGTTTTTTACACTAAATGCGGAATACAGGTCGAACCCCGCGGTCCGCGTTTTCAGATAAACGGCTTATTTGAATAAGCACAAGCTGCCCCAAATGCACCCTAAATCTGCCAAAAGAATGATAAGAAAATCCTAACAGTATGTATCCAACAAAGTTGCTCAAAATGACTTTCACCATGTATGATGGTTTGAGACAAAGATGCTTCCTTACCACTATCAAAATATGTAATCAATCAATGGGCAAACATATTAATCATTTATTACCCCATTTTATGTCAATCTATGCAGCATTCTCTAACCTTAATTTTAAACCATTTATCTATTTAGCCAGAGCACATGCAAACCAATCTATTTTATGTTAGCCTTTTCAGCATTCTCAAATTTTAATGAGCATTTATCTCATTGTTCAAAGCAACTGTAGACATTTAGGGGCTGGGATCACTTTTATTTTTCATTTTCTATTTTTTCTGTTTTTATTTTGTATTGTTTTTGTTTTGATTCAAAAATAAATATGTTTGATAAATTGATTAAGATGCGGTTGTTTTTAAAACACTTAGAACGCCTAAAAGTTTTTTTGAGTGCTTTCAAAAACATGCTAATTTATATTTAAAAATATAAAATATAAAAAAAACACACTAAGAAAATGACTTTTGCAAACGAGCAACACTCGACGAAAAACATATATGAATAATGTGTGCATTTAGTGGTCTATCTAGAAGAATAATGCGACCAATAATCAAATTAGTATTCTGAGCTTATGCAGAAGATTTTTTTTTTCCAAGCTATATTCTTTCGGGTTTGAGCTTATGCAGAAGATTAATTTACCCCGGAATTGCTAAAAATAAACTGAAATCATGGCTTCTTTGCTTGCAGCAGCTCCATTCTTTCATACCATCATGAAATATTGGCTGAAATAGAAATATTAACAGTTAGACCCCTGCTGGTTAGACTTGGCTTAAATACATATATTACTGGCATCGTTCATATAAATAGAAAGGCTTTGACTTGCCGCCTAACAGAAATTGATGACAATGAGGTCGAAAGCATCAGCACCAATTTGCAAAGAGAAAAGAAATTAGTCAAGGAACGGGATAAGAAAATAATAAAAAAAGGTACATTTATCAAACTTGAAATGTCATAGTAGCATGCACATGAGAAACGTTCGCTGCTTTAATGCAATACCATTTACGTAAAGTAACACATTTATGGACGTAATTTCTTGACAATTTCGCAAGAATAACCTCACAATATCATGGAATAATATGCCCTAAGTGGACGGAAACAACATGGATTGTGCTGTAAAAAATTATGTGCAATCTAGTGGCATTTTTAGAAACACAATCTGATATCATCCTAGGGCTCCTAGAAGGTGTTTGGGAGGCAGGTTTGGCGAGGAGTTGGTGGACTAATACAACAACAAAAAGCCTTTATCCCACAAAGTGAGGTCAGCTACATGAATCCCTTTCTGCATTGCGTCCTACTGAGTGGTGGACTAATAAAGGAATAAAGGAATGAAAAGCCTTTATCCCACAAAGTGAGGGATAGATAGCATTTGGCAGCTTTCCCGGCTGAAAATACCAAGACGAATGACGAAACGATGTGGTACAATTGGCGAGGAGGATCCAACACCTGTTCCTAAGCAAGATACAAACGCACTACTTACAAAAAAAAAAAGAGGATACAACACTTCGAAGAGCATAAATCTGAGAAAAGTCTCTCAAAACTCAAAAATTAAAGCTGAAAATCTAAAAAACCATAATACAATACATTAAAATTTCACTAATAAAAAATAACCTAATTAGAAATAGATAAATAGAAAAAAATAGCAAAGGAAAAGAAATAATGTTGGAATATGTAACGAGTCATGATTTTAGGCACAATAGCCTTCCCATGATCACGTGACTCCATAATTCCACGTTCAAGAACTCTATGGGATCGCGGGATCCAATTGATTTTGCTACAAGTTAGCCGGATGGTGGAACTTCTACGATCACGGAACTTTTTGCAAACCACAGAATTGTGCAACAGGAAAACTTCTTCACATGTGCTTCATCTTCTTCACATAAAGCTTCTGGAATCGATTCACCACCATCATAACAAAGTCATTGTCTTGTTGTGTCTGAGGCAACACTACAAAATATATATTCACGTTAATCTTGAACAACTCTAAAACACATGCTTCATTCTAAAGTTTGTCTTGATAGAATAAATAACCATCATTTTTGGAATAACCCAAGTTGGAACTGATAGAATAAATAACCATCATTTTTGGAATAACTCAAGCTGGAACTACACATAGACAGGTATTCTCATGAAGGAAATCTCAAACCATTAAATTCGTAATATGCATCTCCTCCTCCTCGTACTCGGCTAAGCACATTGGAAAACAAGTCTGTCTGGAGGAACTGACCCTAGAATGAGGTATATGGCATGTTGGACAAACCTTAGTAGCAGCCACCGAGAAGGTAAATTGTCAGCCAGGACATCTGACAACCCCCTCAATAGAGGATGCTCTTTTTCTGTTATTGACTCATCAAACTCACTATCTTAGGTTGTTAGTCCTACTAGAACCTCTCTTATGAGCTCAACTTGGATCACGAGCATCTCTCCCTAATTGGCTGGAAGCTGATACTCCTCTCTGACGTCTCCATTCTCTCATGTTTCACTCTCCATTTCTTCAAATGCTCCCTGTTCAATGAAAGATATCATCCTCCTATTTAGGCAATTAGACGCAATGTTCCCAAACCGTGACACATAAAACACTTCCCAACTCGGGCAAAATTAAGAGTGTTGGTGGATCCACATTTTCTCCACTACGAACTGATTACTCCTTGGACGGAGTCGACTTGGGTGTTCCAATAGGTTTACTCTTGTTGTTTGATCCAATGCCCGAACTCTATTTAAAAAATGTGGACATGATACTATTATGTTGTCTCTCCACCTTCATAGCTAAGATATGTACATCTTATAATATCCAATAAAGTTGCAAATGCACCATGTTGTCAATGGACAATCTCAATCCCCCCAGATATCAAGGTATGGCATTATTATCGGGCTCCACTGACTCACACCTCGACATAAGCTCCTCAAACTAAATCATGCACTCTTCTATTAAGAAATCATACTTTGTAAATAAAGACTCAAAAATTTCTTGTTTGTAATACATTGGTAGGTACTTACACTGCATCTCTCTTTTCATTTTAGACCAGACAATGATTTTGCTTTTTCCCTCGTGCTGGTGCATGTGTTTCAAAATTTTCCACTATAAAGAAACATTTTTCTTGAACATAATGGTTCACAATTTAAAATTTTTTTCCCAAGAAACGCTCTTGTACTTAAAATATGTTTCACTATTTGGAGTCACTCGATGAACTCAACCGGATATATGCAATCATCAAAATCTGATAAAGCTATTTTTACTCCAAAATTTTGGCTTATCTAATGTTCTGTGCAAAATCGGCATTGTATTAGTTCTTCTTCAATGAAAACTTCTTATTGGAAAGGATTCACTTCCTTCTCTTGATTTGTTCAACCGGTGTTATTACTATGGGTGATCTCACAGGGTTGTTAACTCTCAAATGCAACAAGCCAATGTTTTAGTTGGAAGATCTACCGCTGCATATCCTCCATAGTAATTTCTTGGACATCTCGCTGAAAGTTGCTCTTTGGCAACATGCATTCTATTGTCCTGATTGTTGTTTCGACGGAGGTAGGATTGCAAATCAAAGGTTGGACGAGAGTTTAAGTTTGGTAGTGGGTGTCTGAATGAATTTTTTGTTAGGATGAAATAGTTAAATTTTGAAATTTAGTGTTAGGACTACAAGTTGTGTTAGGAATGATTAGGGTATGGTAAGAATTTTTTTTTAGAAGGCATATTAGGTTAGATTTTTTTTCTTTTAAAATTTGATTTATGACAAGAAAAAATCACTAAAAAATCAAGGCTTGTCGGCCTTTGATAACAGATGACGCCATTCTAAGACTCCTAAAAGGTGTTTGGGAAGCGAGTTCGGCGAGGAGGTGGTGACTTGTAAGAGAATGAATATGGGCGGTAAACAATGTTTGGAGAGGGATAGACAACATTCATCTACTTTCCCGAGTGAAAACAATGAGGCAAACAACAGAAAGTGGTAGGGACGGCATGGTGGATCCACCAACTGTTCTTAAGCAAGAAAAAAACACACTTATAAAATGAAGATATAGCACTACCAAGAGCATAAATCATAGAAAAGTCTCTCAAAACTCAAAATCAAATGTGAAAATCTAAACTGCCGTATATAATATATATAAAAGTTTCCTAATGAAAATAACCTAATTAAAAATAAAAATAGTAAAAAAATCAGAAAGAAAAGGAAATAGTGCTGGAATATGTAACGAGTCATGACTTTGGGCGTAATCGCCTTCCCAAGATCACGGGACTCCATAATTCCTATTCAGGAACTCTGTTGGATCGAAAGATGTTGATTTTGCTGTAGGTCGGGAGGGAGGGGGTAACTTCTGCAATCTCGGGACTTTAGCATAACGCAATTCCGCATTGTGAAAAAATTCCCACGCCCGCTTCATAATGTTTGTGTTTGATTTTTATTTAAGTTTAGATGAAATGGTTTTAATATGTATTAATATTTCTATAGATTCATATGCATATGTCCTATATGTGTTACAAAAATCCCCTATATTTATGCAAAAGCATCAACCATAAACCACTAAAAATGAATATAATAAACACAAAAAAGTAACAAAAGACTAAGGTTTTGTCTGTGACAGCTATAGCTTATTGATAAGCTGTTGATAAGGAGTTAATTCAGAAAAACTGATGATCGGCAGCTGATCTGAATAAACTGGTTAGTTGTTTGGTTTATGTTATAGAAAAACAGCTGATTTACGGCTATTTCTAAATAAATGATCATTCTGTCAATGCGCAATAATGTTATTTGAAACAGAACTTGCATAGCAATATATTTGATACTTGAGAAGCAAATATCACTTCATAATAATAGAAAAAATAAGATATACACCCTACATAACAATGAGTATCAAATGTCTATTAAAATTATAATTAAAAATATGATAATATTAATTTTAAAATTTAGACGGCGTATGACACGAGCTACGTCATCCTCAAGGAATATCATCCAACCCCGATCACATCGGCACTCGAATCTGTTGGACTTGTCTGCCCACCGGAAGAAGTCACACTTCTCCGGATCGTCTGCCCACCGCGGGCACCTGTAGAACTTTTTCCCGTAACTATGTGTCCGACGTGAGGTCGGTAGGGAAGTCTGTAGTCCACAGTGACAGTGCACTCGTCGGGAGGTCCTTGAAATCCTGGAGCTCATCTTTCTTGAATGATTAAAAAAAATAATCCATTAGTTATAACTAGAACTGTCAAAAAAGCTCGTTGTTCGCGAATAGCTCGTGTTCGACTCGTTCGTTAAGTAAACAAACCGAAAAAGAATAAGTTTTTAAAGCCCGAATTATAAACGAGCCGAACACGAACAACTCTTTGCTTGCACGTGTTCGGCTCATTTTAGTTAAAAAAAAATTACAAAATTATTTAGAATAATATATATATTTATATCTAAGTTTAAATCGTAACAACTCGTGTGGTAATGTGGTTAGTGTCTTCTTTTGCATACATTTGATTCATATTCGAATCTAACACTTTACATCTATTTTTTTTTAATTTAGTTTTAACGAGCCAATTTCGAGTCGACCACGAACACGAATATTTAAATCGAGTCGTACACGAACACTGTTCACGAGCAGATTTTGAACACAAGCAGTTTCGAACGAGCCGAACACGAGCGTCAAGCCTGAGCTCGCTCAAGCTCGGCTCATTTAGAACCCTAGTTATAACAGAGTTGAAAATTCTAATATAAGTAATTAATTATAGTTTTTTGCAGGCGTGAGATC